CGATAGGTGGAATTCAAAAAACTGACAAAACTTTAAAAGTTGAAAAAGGGACTACAATAGTTTTATTGTTTTAACAACTCTTGAAAATATAATTATGTATCTCTACTTAAAATAATAAGTTAACCAATAGCCAATGTGATTATAGTTTAAATATTCTTTCAAGTTGTGATAAAATCTGTAAACTTTAATTTTTACTAAGTTTTGTTGTTCCTTCAATACTAATTGACTTACGTTATTTCAAAACAACGACAACAATAATAATTAATAACCTACATAACAAATCACTCATGTGTTTCTAATCGAAGATGTTGAATTTCAAAGTTGAAGGGTTGAAGCAACTCGTGATCGAGGAGTCAGCAAATTTGATAATCAAGCTGGCATGGAGGGCTGGACCTACCAGCCACTAATCCAATAAGTTGGAGATGATAGGCTACCCACTTGTCCATAAGAGGAATTATCAAACAGGAAAGCTGGCGATGGGGTGTGTGAACAAGCTTAATTGGATGGCTAATACAAGTGTATTTTATACACAAGTTAGCTCCAAGGACATTCGAGAAGAAAAGTAGCACCATTGAAATTGATAAAGGTGAGATCGGAAACCCGAATCATCCACCCATTTGGGGTGCAAATATTCATCTTGTTAGAATCTAAATAATTGTAGTAGCATGTCCTACTAACATCCTCAAGATTCAAATATTTTTTTCCTCTTCCTTGTGTTATTTGGAAGATATTTTGTGTATACATGCGTTGCAAGGAATAAAATGGAATTTGATTCTCTTCATTGTGCCTTTCTTTAGACGCTCAGAGGCGTAATGGAGTTGCCCGACACAAGCACCACTACAAAATGGTATTATTAACTACATGCAAGAGACAATTCTTCTATGCGCAGCTATTTAGCTATATGTTGCGTTTTGAATTATACAGAACAATATTAGTTCTCCATAAGAGCTTTGGGTAATTTGTTTATTTGCTTCTACACGTATTACAAATTTAAAGTCATGAAATTAGGAGAAAAAAAAATATAATACCCGGTCACCGTGAGCGTGTCAGAAGTGAGAAAATGTAGGCGCAGCAAAGCAAAGTTTATAATTGACTATCCACTCCATCTTATTATTTGGAGTTTGTTAAGTTATTTTATAAGTAAATAATTTAATCTTAAATGAATTAATAAATTTAAAAACATGGTATTAAAAATTGTAGTAATTTTTGTTCAATTTTTAATAAATAAAATATCATTAATATTTAAAATGAAGTTGTTTATCCGATAAAATAATTTATACAAATCCTTCTATTTGCTAGACTTGTTTCTTTTTCAATGCTACTTTAGTTTGAGAAAGATAAAAGAAGACTATATATGATAACACGTGTAAACACAAACCAGAGGGATAAGAGGAAGCAAATGCGATCACGTGACAAGCACACATGACCCTATCCTCAACTCATATGCGTGTATGTAGCATGTCTTAATGTGCCGACTTCCAATGGAACAAAACAAGTTGGGGGATGACAGGGAAACAACAAAGCGACCACTTGATTAATTACCATAAGATGAAAGAAGAACACATGCAACTCCCAAACAGTAACAATTGTTGGTCGTGGGTATTAGCATGGAAAGTGGAAATGACGTATGCCTAATAATATAATGTAATGAGCTACAAACCATGGACATTGGAAAAGCTACAAACCAACACTCCAACATGAAGTGGAAAGTACCATTCAACTTGTTAGAACCTTTATTCCATCTAAAGCACATGGCTCAACCTAGCTAGCTAGCTAATTATATGAATACTATTTATTTTCATTTATTTGAGTATATTTGTCTTGCTGGCTGTAGCCTGTAGAGGCCTCAGGTGTGGCTTAGGAGGGGGATCTTTGTGACAGAGGTAAGGTGGAAGGAATCTGAATTTGATTCTCTTGGTTGTAGTGCTGTTTGTATCCATAATGGAATTGCTGACACAAAAACCACATTGTCAAACCTTAGAATATTTGTACCTAAAAAAACAAAAATCCCCGAGCATTTGGCATACACGTATATCAATTATGATCTCATGCATTGGATGTGTAGGATCATCGATCGATCATTCTATTCCAATTAATATTCTGTGACCTTTTTTTCTCTCCTACAACTTGCAAGTTCAGGGTAGTGTTATACGAATTGCACTATGTGGGCCGGTTCTGATTTGGTGAAGTAAAGTAATCGATCGATATGAATATCGAGTAACTTATCAGACTGTTAATGCATATAAAGTTGTATGAATCGTCCTTAAAGTTAAACCAATTTACTACTGAACTTGCAAATAATTAGTAAATAAACAGGAGGGTGTTCTAGCTTAGTGAGAACTTTTGAATTACTTTTTTAAAATTTGATAAGAATCTTCTTTTGTGGTCTTTAATAATCTTGTCAATTCAAATTTGAGTAAAGTAAGTTAAATCTAGAAATTGAATTAAATTTATTTGAACCAGTACGAATATTGAGGTTATAATTCGATTCTGAAGAATATTTAGTGCTATTTTGATCTACTTATGCGATTGCTGACACAAAAGCCAAATTGTCAAATCCTAAAATATTATGTACCGGAAAAAAAATCATTTGGCATATATATATATATATATATATATATATATATATATATCCTAATGACCTCATGCATGGCATATATGAGATCATCGATCGATCAATCATTCGTGTCCAATTAATAATGTTCCCTTTACAACTTGCTAGTAAAGTTCAGAGGTATATAGCCATAAGACTTGGAAAGATCAGCTAAACTATGGTTTTTTTTTTTGGTTCAATTATTTTAAAGGAAAAATGAGTTAAACAAAATTTAAAGAGAAGGACTGTTTTTTTTAAAAATATTTTTACTTTATAAAATATTAGTTTTAAGATTTTTCTGCCTTTTACTTGTTCTTTTTTCTTTATTTCAAATCTTCAAATTAATAACAAACTATTCTAGAAATTTTAACGTAAAAGTAAATTTTAAGATTAAAAAGTGATAACATTGCCAAACGGCCTTTTTTTTACTTTAAATTTAAAATTCCTTTTTCTTTAATTTAAATTTCAAAGCACATTTAACTTTAAGGAAGTTAAACACTAAATATATAAGAGATTACATCAACATATGTTTGGACTTGGACATTAAAAAGGTTTGATGTAGGATTAGTCTCCTCAATATAGTGTTTATTTAAGAAAAATTAATAATGAATTTTGATTTTTTATTGACACAAATTAACATAATTCGTCCGAATATTTATTATTGACTTCGAGTTCATTCTTATTGTAACAAAAGTTATGAGTTTCCAACGTGTAAAGACGCCATTTACATTTATTTTTGATATTAACTCCCTTTTATTTCTTTAACAGCAAGTACAAGTGCCACACGTGGCATGATGATGTGACTCTTTGATGTGTGTGAGCTGCTTAGAGTAAACATCCATCTAAAATCCCTTCATTTTCATCTCCTGCTCAAAAAAACTCCCAAACCCCTTCATTTATGTTCCTTATTAATTGGGGAAGCTTATCAAATTATGACACGTAGCATGCATTTAGGTCCCTCTGTTAATGTCATGTCATTGCGTTGCTTCCGATGTTGCAACTCTTCAATGACCATTTTTTATTTCTTCAATGAAGAGTGTGATATCGCGATTGCATGTGCACTCTAGTGTCTGCTTTGGTGCCTTGGAGCTCAAGTGAACAGACTCTGCCACTTGTGTGACAATGTCTTTGAGAATTTCCCCATCCCTTTGGATTCTCGAAAGCAATTGCGTGACATGAAGATTTGAGTACGGAGTAGTGGGCAAATGAGAATTGTTCTTATAAACTTTTTGGTCGTGAAAATTTTGATTCTTCAAACCTCTCCCAAAACCCTCATTTAGCCTTCTATTTCCACCACTGATAGATGATCGTGTTTAGATCAAAAGGAAGAACCATCTGGATCTCCGAGTGGAAGTTTGAAGTTTGGACCCTTATTTCTACCAACTCCATTTTTCTACTCCCAAATAAACCCAAGCGATTCCTTCGTCTTTCCTATCACAAACCATAACCGCACCCCTATGAGCCAACCAAGCAACACAACTTGTTTTAAGAAACCTCCATTTGCGTACCTCACAACTACTCCACCAACCACCACTGGTGGCCGCCATTTCTGCATTACTGTCAAGCCTAATCACGAAAACCTTCTCAATGACCACCATAGGCATTATTCAAGCCACTATGAATAACTGTACTCCAACGCCCAAACCTCTATTTGAGCTTCACCTCTCTGTTGCTTGTCCCAACGAAGAGAATTGAGGGATTCGGGGACCTAAATGAAGGTTTTGGGGTGCTTTTTGTATTTTGAGTTGGTGGCGATGCATGGAAATGAAGAAATTTTTCTTTGGCTAGCTTGTACACGTTAAAAGAGTCACAATAGTGTCACGTGGATGTTAAGATGTCTGCTTGCTTTTAAAGAAAATGAAGGGGAGTTAACGACAGGGACGAATGTGAATGACATCTTCGTACATCAAGGATTCATAATTAATTTTTATTTCGATAACGATGAATTTGAACTCGGAGGTCAATATTAGAGATAAATTTAGTGATTCACATACTTGGTTATTAGTATGGGCATCGCAAGTCTACATTATATTAATAAGCACTTTTATCATAGAAAGATGATATTATTATATTAAGATTTTAAAGTTTAATATAATATTACATCAAGTATATATAAAGTCATAATATTTATATTAACAATTTAATTTTGTTATATAAGATTATTGATTTGGGACTATTTAAGAAGGCTCAATACTCTTTTGGTATTTATGAAGTACTCACAATTCAATATTTAAACTAGGACAAAAATTATATTTTTTGGGCCCACTCAATGTATATTTTACGGGACACCGTGTTTGATTTTGCTTTACTAATAGGATTGCTTGAGCATATTATACATATCGTTTAAGTAGCTCAACGTGTGGGAAAAGAATATTAAAAACGATGGTACTGGAAGACAAAAAAACAGAGTCAAAAGCATTATTTCATTATTATTTGATTCACATTATACTTTCAGAAACACGGAAAAAAGTTAAAGGGAAACAAGAAAGGTGCACTTGAAAATGAAGCTAGCGAGGCATCTATTGGGAAAGATTTTCACCATGCACAAAATCTTTCTTGACCTCTATCTAGCAAAGCTATTAGGAAAATTTATAATGCTAGTCCTCCATGAAGGACCTTCATGATTTTGTTACTGATGGAACATTTTTCCCTGCTCCTTTCTTCAACACCTCAGCAGAAACATTGATCTCAAGGCCGTCAAAAATGTCTGATGCTGACTTTGTACCATCCTTTATTGGCAATTCTTGGCTTTCGCCTTTCCCTATGTCTGTTGTGTTTTGACGGTCTTTGCTTTTGCCCCACACCACGGTGTAAAGTCCGCACACAATGAGAATTGCTCCAAATATACTGAGAAGGGGCCAAGGGGGAGCCAATAAGAAATTTAATTAGCACATAAATTAATTACACATTTTAGGCTTTGCTATTGATTTCATTGATCAAAACATTTTAGGACAAAGGATGTTTAATTTAAGACATACCTTCCCAAATGAACTTGCTCAGCTAAGACAAGGGAACCCAATGCAGCGGTGATAATCATACATAAAGGGCTGAAAGAAGTCACAAACACTGGTCCACGTTCTCTAGTTACCACCCCTTGTACATAGTATGCCATTCCAGAGCATATCACCCCCTAATTATAATTTTTACAAAATTTGAGTGCAAATTATTTAGTTAAATTGTTAATTGGAAATCAAACTTCACCAAACATGCAATAAAAAAAAATTAATTACTAAGGAAAGGTACTCACAGAATAAACACAAGCAAGAAGCCTCGAGTCCCAGCCTATGGCCCACAAGCTCATGTCCCTTTCAAATATAAAGGATGCGATTGAACCCTCGATGATACCCATCACGCAAATCCAAGCTGTCAACGAGAGCTCTGCTGGGTACTTCTTCAAAGTGAATGACTAATTTCACAAAGTAGCAGCAACATAAGTCAGATTATTATTTACCCTTTGACCATTTATTTGGTACATACAGTTAATTACTTCATGAAGCAGAGAATAGTAATGAGGATAAATTGCACTTGCACACACCCTTCTAATTATATAAATTACTCTTGATTTCGATTAAAAGAAAGGTATTATGTGAAATTTTATTAAACTTAAGGAAGTGTGAATGTTACCCATTAACAATGTATGATGATGTATGTGCATGACACGTGGCTAGACTTACTTGCAAAATGAAGAAACCAGCCCAACTAGCACAACTTGATATGAGCATTACTGTGCCGACGGCCCAGTGCTGCTCAGAGGAATCGGTGCTGCTACTGGCGTTGCTATGGTGGCTGATTGCTCCTCCACCCTTTATGATCTGGAAGGCAGGACCCTTGTACAGAGTCATAACCATGGCTCCTGAAACTGTAATAACGGTTCCAATGACCTTGGCTAGGCTGTGAAATTTTCTCAAGTTGACCGTCTCTAACCTGGTTGGTAGAATAATTTTCATGTCATTAGATTCACTAGAATAATGAATTAGAATAAATCTTAAAACAGTTAATGGAAAAGAAAATTACAAGAATCTTGTTAGATATGCGTGTCGTGAGAAAAGAAATTATTGTTTAATCCAACTTGTATAAGCAATATCGTTGGACAACACGGAATCAAACTTTAATTAAAAAATGAATAATGCAATTAAAGAGTGTGGATATGGCACAAAATAGTTTGTGACATCATTTGTCAGCTAGCGGCCCCATGTCATGCAGTGGCTTCCAAATTGTTGGATCCTGTTATTCTTTCCAGGAATGCAAGTAGCCTTTTTTCTTTGCGTAAGGACACATGCTTCCATTAATCTTATAGTGAAGCGATTGAATTAAGCTTTTTACCTGAAAATGAGTGCCATTATAAAAGTAATGGCTGGGAGGACATTAACAGTGGCGGATGCAAACGTTGTTGAGGTCATCTTCATCCCCATGTTGTACAAGTTCTGATCTAGCACTGGCCTGTTCAATTTAATCACCAACAAAAATAAATCATTAGACATCGAACTCCGCATATTGTACCTTCGGTTCCACAAAAACATTACCTGTAGAAAAAATTAATCTGCAACTTTATACAATTTGTAGGATACAATCAAATTATAACTAAAATGATTTAAATTAAAAAAAAAATCTGCTCGTCAAATAACTCTTTCCTCGTTCACGTGATTGTTAGACGGTCAACAATGATCGGGAAAATCTTTGTCCACAGGTTAAAAGATAAATTACAATTATTATAGACTTTACATTGTAGTTCAATCTAAACCTTAATAGGTTTACAGGTGTTTATTTATGTGATTCTTGCTTGTTTCTAATTAATGTAAGATTTTATCACTTATATATTATACATTGTTTGATTTAAATAAAAAAAATATTTTGTTTAATTTAAATAAAATTTATATTATTAAAATAGACAATTATTTTGTAATAATAATTAACTCTAATCACCAAAACACTTTTCCTTTCTTTTAAATTTGTCCATTTTAAAGGAAAATCAAAATTAGTTGACGACAAATTAACATAATACTTTTCTTTTCTTCAAATTTAAACTAAATACGAAAGGATTATAATCCCATTCCTCCTCTTTATTTTCATCTAACCATCTAACAACAATAATTTTAGGTCTTAGGTGTGTCACTAAAATTTGTGAGATAAGTACTTGTTTTTAAGTCAGAAGTGTTTTATTCTTGCAATTTTTTTATTTAAAAATTATTAATTTTAATTCTTAAAGTTGAGTTTAAACAATGAATAATAATAATAAATTTTGTATAAATTTAATAGAATAAATAAATTTTACCTATAAAAAGAATTTATTTTTTAAACATTTCAACTCAACTTAAAGATTAAAAATAACTAAATTCTTTATTTAAATTGATCCTAGAGACATCAATTCTACGTCGTACGGACCATGTTATCAACACATATCTGCTTTGCTAGCATTTAATTAAAATAACAAAAGGAATTAAAATTATTGGTAAGTACGAATGAAATTAAATAGGAAATATTGCGTTTTGTTAATGATTTTGTGGTGGGTCACTTTCTTCAGTATGACGTGTCCGCTAAAAAAAGTGGGGCAACATGAATCTTCACTGTCATGTAACAATTTCGTTCCTATTAGTCTGAGATTATAGATTGTGTAGAGTATATATACATTTTTTATATCTTTAACGGTTTCGTTTTCAGGACAATATAAAACATAACCAATTAGCTCCGCTGGATAAAAAGGGAAAACACCGCCGATAAGTAGTGTCTCATATAATGGTGTATTTCCAGAGTAAGAAAATTAAAAACCAGCTGATATATTTATTTAGTTGTATAAAATTAATTTTAAATATTAAAGTTAATGTTTCTTTAATATATTTATGTATTTGTAATTTTAAAGTATTTATTTTTGTATGGAATAGATATATTCGTTTATTTTGAACTTGGGGATTTATTTTAAGAGTTGTAAAAATGTATTATGCGTTTCTATATTTAATTTTGTATTTATGATTATTATCATGTAAAATAAGGAAAAGAGTGCAAGCAAAAATATTTTAAAAAATCAAATTCAAAGTGAATATTTAATTGTTTGAGTGTTTTTTGTTACTAAGAATCATTTTTATTTCCGCCACCCAACCAGAAAGAACATTGGATTTTCTACTATTTCAAAGAAATGATAGCTACTTATGCATGCATGCATGTACAAGTTAAAATTAAATGAACAGATGGTCGAATTCGTGAAGATTCTGAGAATTTAAACAAATTAAATGCATGATTCGATACTGCGAATATGACATGTGGAAATGGTAAGAAGAGCCTTACTCAAGGAAACCGAGCGCAACTATTCTGAGGAAGATGGGAAGAGTCATCTTTGGCCTTATTTTTCTGCGAAGATAGTGAAAAGAAAATCTTGTTACTAATTGTTAAATAAGCTAGTTGATGCGGGAAAGGTATGAGGATCATGGGAAGGACCAAAAAAAGCTGCTACATGGTGTACTTTTTAACTGGGTAGTGGGACAGTCACGAACACTGAAAGAGGAAGAGAAAGAGAGAGATATATATATACCTTTCAAGGACAAGGGCAAAAGGAACTATAATAACAGCGGCAACCACGTGACGATAGACTGAGAGTATCCAATGGCTCATGCCATGTTTGAAAGAAACCATAGTGATTATATACATCCCTGAGTAGCCAAATTGAAGGGACAATATAGCAAGGTAAGGCTTCACCTTGCGAAGCCCCTTGCTCAACTTACCACTAGCATTTTGGTCCTCCATCTTGTATGCACCGAGGTGACACACAAAACACACACAAACTCTCTCTAACGAGCTAGTGGCTGTGACTTGTGAGTTTGTGGGTGACCCTCCAAACACGAAATGGCCTTTTATAGACCAAAAAAGCAACATAATTTAAAAAGAAGACCCAGTTTTACACAACATCTTCACTTGTCGATCCAAGGCACTAACTCCCCCCACTTCAATTTTCACCCCAATGATTCCCTTATCCATTTTCCAAAACTAACCCAAACTCAGAGCAATTACTAGAATGCTCTTTTATGTTTATAATTGCGGCAACATGAAAAAAGTAAGGCAGATATTATGTATCTCTAAATGAAAATAATTTTTATTGTCCTCTTATTATGATTTCTCTTTCTTTATTATATAATTTCTCTGTTTGTTTAATTTATGGGAAGTGGGAGATGTTTTCTTTCATTGACCGCCAAATGGAATTTAGGTTTAGTGCTTGATCGTGACGCAAGCAAATATGTTCCTATATGTGGTGTTAAGTAAGAGTGGGTGCCGTATATGTGGACACCAATTAGAAAAATACGAGTTAAAATCATTCGTTAATTAGGGGTTTTCACCTATGTTAACTAATGGGCACATTACATGGTTTAGTATTTGTCAAAAAATGAATAATAACTATGTTAAGCCACTTGATCTCGATCCATACATATGTATATGTCATGATATCTAATCTCTGATCATAATTTGAATTGAACATATAGAATCTTGTATCTCAAATCTTGTTGGAGTGGGATTACCATATATAATAGTAAATGTATTAATACAAACACATTAATTATTAAATATCCATTATATATTAGCTCAATAGAAATTCTCTATTTCAACATGCGTTATATCCCACCAGAAATAAGCTTAGTTGTTGCAATTTAAATGTTTTTTTCCTCTTCAATTAAATAATGATAACTTCAATATAAATATTATCTTTCAAATAATAATACCTTTTCTCTTAATTTTTATTATTATTTATCAATTATCGTAATTAAATTAATTGGAAGAATAAGACAAGAAAGAACAAAAGATTTAATTCTGGTTTGATGGATATTTTGACTTTGGTGGTACCCAAATCAAATCATGCTATGTTCCTTTCGCCCAAAATCAAAGATGATAGAATCAGGCAGAGGTTTCTTGTTTCCGTTGATATAACAATGCTCAACTCAAAATCTAATCTTACAAGGGGTTGCTATATTTTCTGTTTATAGCATTTTAAAAAATTAATTATTTTTTAGTCATTTAATATGTTCTACGAGAAATTTTAGTCTTTCAATAATTTTTTTCTCTAATTACAAAAATAATTCATAATTCTATTTAGAGAAAAAATTAAAAATAAATTTCTTGTTTACAGCTGACATTATAATGTAAGATGTCGATTTCGGGTGTTTAATGATTTCAAAACTTCAATCCTTATGCTGGAAGAGAAATGAGACAAATTAATAAATGATAGTATAAAATAAGAGATAGATAATGAGATATCCCTAATGAAAGAAAATGGAATACAATAATAAATATTAATCTTTAATTTAAAAATTTACATTTTGAATTGCACACAGTTGTGCTTGCTTTAGATTCTTTAAAAATGATTTAAAGGATGATTATCATCTTGCATAATTTGTCTCTAATCTGTGTTTTGTTGAATATACGAGATGTTTTCGTAAAGATTGAGAAGTACATAATAATTTGTTTTGTATTATGGGTTGACATATCTTTTTATATTTTTTCAATAAATTTTTCTTTTCATCTTATAAAAAATAATCACAATGAATCCTTTCAGATGATCAACTCAACAAATGTGTCATGTTGATTTATTTTTTTATAATAATTTAATGATAAATTTTAAAAATTTACATGATTTATTTAATTAAAAATATATATTTTTTGACAAGTTTTATGTTAATTGTCAAAAATTAAACACAACTTTATTCCTTTACTTGGAGTTAGGACTAACTATAGGGAGAGTTGATTTATTTATTTTAAAAATTGACACAATATTAGTTGAAAGAGAAAATTTAATGAAGATAAAAAAAATGTATAAACAATAGTAGATAAAATAAAAATATAGTTAGCTTTCTATTAAAATCACTGTTATTAGTATAAAAGAAAAACTAATGAACTTAATTTAATATAATACGTGTCATTAATTTTCAAATGAGATAAAAGTGTAAGTTATATATATATATATATATATATATATATATATATATATATATTTATAGATATAAAAATGTACATCTCAACAAGTTGAAAAAATTATGATAATTCATAATATGTAACAAAAGATGAATTTTAACTTTAAATAATGTAATTATAATTTAATATGGTTATAAAAGTTATTATGATAAAGTGATATTTGAAAGTTTGGTAAAAAGAATTTTAATAATATATCTTAAGTAATTTTGAAAGATTATTTAAGAATAAAATTTAGATGCAATAATTTAGATATTTTTTATGTTGTTCTTTAATTATAAATGAAATTTCATACCAAAAATTAATATTAACATTCATTACACTGATTATTAAGAAAAAAAATGTAATTTTAATTAAAAATTAATAGAAAAAATACTTAAACTTTATTTAAAAGTTTGAAGAAAAATAAAAAATAAGGAACTAATTTGAACAGTATGGAAAGATGAAAAAGAGAGAAAGAAATGTGAAAAAAAAAGTCTCTCTCTCTCTCTCTCTCTCTATCTATATATATATATATATATATATATATAACTTTTCAAACAAGAGTTACTAAAAATAAGACTATCATTGCTCTCTTGGAAAAAAGTTAAGTTTTGACACTTCAAAATATGTTTATATTTATCTTGTAAAATCAATTTTTTCTTTAAATCCAAAAAAAAACTGAATTTGAAAATTTAACAATTAAATGCAAGTGATTAATCATAAGTTAATATTAACAAAATTAAAATATAAGGATTATAAGTATAATTAAGAGAGATTAGCATCAGTTAAATGTAAATATATCAATTAATATTAACAAAATAAAAAGTAAAATTGTATTCCTGAGTGAAGGTTGACATAGGAAGAGTCGTGCATTAATCATGAATTCCAATAAAACAACATGATTGTGTAATGCGAGTGACGTGGGCCGTAAATTTCTCGTTTCCTCTCAGTAATTGTGGCTGAGATCGCAACCTATACTTCCAGGCAACACGACCCATGAATACTTGATTTGTTAATAATTAAATTTAACTTCATTTTTTATATTTTCTAATTTATTTATTTATACAAATATTCTTTCATTTAAATCACAAGTAATTTTTAATATAAATAATATTGCTTAAACCAGATAAAACTATTATAGATGACAAAATTCTTTATAACAATTTAATTTAAAATTACAAATTACGTTGAAACAAAATCTATTATTTGAATAATTTAAAATAATAAAAATAAATGAATAAATTTTGTGATTGATTTCAATGAAATAAATAAATTTCTTAATTTTTTATTTTTATACTAATAAATAAAAACAAAAATAGTATTTTAAAATGGGATAATTTTTCCTTTAAAGTGAATTTATTTATCGATAAAGTAAAAAGTAAAAGATTATATAATTTTTATTTAGTTTTGAGTACATGAATACACTGATCCATAATGATTCAAGAATGAATATATATATTAATTTTACAAATAAACTTAATTTAAAGAATTTTTTTTAAGTGATACTAGCTTCCATCTTTTTATAAAAATAAAATAAAAATTAATAAGAAAAAATTATAAATTATAAATTTATATTTTATTTTTAAAGTATTAATATTATTAAATAGTTGAATAAAAAATGAGTAATTATATTATTAATATAAATATCATAGTAAAATAAGAGTAAATGAGGAAGCTTATACTTAATTCAGTGATTTGAGATCTAACTATTTACTAATTATTTCAAATCTTGATTAAATTTAAAAGTTATTAGCAATGTAGAAATATTGATTTTTCATTTGACTTATTGATCATGAATCTTTACTTACAAATGCTTTGTGTTATAGTTAGTGAATTTACTTTTTTAAATTTTTGTCATAAGTGCTTTCATGAGCTTGAAAATATTAATTAGTGTCTTACAAATTGTCCTTACTTTAAAGTTTTGTTTAGGTGCCATTTTCCCCTTGTAATTTTCATGACCCTGTTATTACTTGAATTTCTACCTTATTTCAACATAGGGACTATATTTTTTATTTATTCAATTTTAAGTGACTTTAGTGTCAAAGAAATAATATGTTATTTGATAAAAAAAGAATGAAGTATTTATTATGTTTTGAATTTTATTATTCAATCTAAGTATGATTATTCTATACTAATTTCAAATAAATTAATCTTCAAACTCACTTTTTTTTTTCAGGAGATACTATGAAATCTATAATCTTTTAAGTATTATAAAATCAATATGAATAGTAGGTGTAGGATAAATCTAGAGTCTACAATGATATATTATTAACATTGTTTACTTCTCTTGATGATAATAAATTTTCTCTTTATGTTAAATTAAAAAAAAAATTAGTATTTTTTTAAAATATTTTTTTTAGTATTTTAATGAGTTATATTAAAAAAGTTATAAAAAATAATTTTAAAATCTTATTACTTAAAAGTGGTAAACTTTATTATAAAGAAATTAAGATTAATTTCTCTTAAAATATATTCTATTCTAAATGAATTTTATTATCTCATACAAAATTTATCACGTGTATTAATATATAATATTATTCATAGAGTTAATTCAACAACGGTTAAATTAGCTTATTTGATATTTTTATTTTATTTTGATTAAAAGTTATGAAAATTAACAACTAAGATTTTAAACATAAATTTATATTTTATATAATTTAAAAAATTATTATTTTTTATAGAAAAATTCAAGTAGTGCTGATTTTGTTTCTATTTATGTATTCTGAGAGAAGAAAAAATTAATCTTAAATTTTTTTCTTATAAAAATTTAAATTAATATTTATTATTCTTTTTCACTAATATTTTTTTACACAGAAACTCATTAAAAAAATTATTCAGTAGAAATATAATGTTAGATTAATCTTTATTAAAATTAACACCATA